TGCACCCCGCCACACTCACTGAATAAACAAATACAATTGATTTTTAAAAGAAAGGTACTGATTAATAGCCCATAGCAATTTTACCGAGCAAGGTTCTACAAAAATGACTACATACATGAATAGGTATAAGCAGAGTAGATGATTTCTGAAATATAAAAATTAGATACTTTAGAAACATACAATTTACTTATTTATTTGACACGATCTCACTGTATAGCCCTGGCTGGCCTAAAATTCTCTATATAGACCAGGCTGGCCTCAAACGCCAGAGATCCACTTTCTTGCCCCTTGACTGCTGAGATGAATGGTGGATACCCAGCTAGAAACAGTTTAGAAAAAACAGGGACTAAAGCTGTCATATGAAGGCATATGACACACAAAATTATAGTAAGCTTTTAGTTACCTGCATTCTTACCAATATTTACCAAAACTGTACTGTATGCTCTAAATTTTAATGTCATAAAAATGTTATATTTTTGTCCTAAGATAGCTAAAGAAAATATAACAATTAATTGGTCATTCCCATAAAACAAAAGTAATTTTAATTGTTTCATGTACCTTTTCCTAAGAAAATGATATCTAACTAAGCATGTTTTAAATAAAGTAGACAGCTGAAAAATGTCAAGAGGAAAAATCCATCAACCTTAAAAAAAAAATCAACTAATCTGAATTCTACTTTTAAAAGGGAAAATTGTAAGAAACAATGTTCCTGCTACTTGAGCATCAAGATTGTAAGAAAAACGTAAGGAGAGGAACTAATAGCTCAGGGACCGTGAGGGGCACAAGGGCCCTCTGTGCTCAACAACAGTGCCTTTCTCAACGCATCTGGAGCTACATATTCAATAACTCCGTGCCCCAGCATCCTACTCTTAACACACAATGCTCCTTTCTTGCATTATTAAGCAGTTATTTCCCATTTTGGACATCATTCTCATACAATCAGCTTCAAAACATCCTACAATCCAGGCTATTACAGTGTGCAGTATCCAGTCAGGAAAGAGGCAAATCCTTCTCTTTCCTTGGCACAAACTCACATTATACCAAATGCATTGCTGCTCTGCACTCACGTGGCACACTCTAACCAAAGCCACTCACTCCACTTCGCGTTTCTGTAATTCTAAATAGTGAGTGCGTATCAGGTGAGAATCCGTTAGCAACTGGCTAACAGCCCATTTCTGACTGCAGTTTGTGTACCATTCCTTGCTCCTAAAACCAGTATATGTCCAAAGCCAGCAGACACTTGCAGCATGAACATAAAAGATGTAGACATTTCACACATCCTTTTCCTCCCCCATACAAACATTTCCATGAAAAGTCTGGATGGACATATTACTAGAAAATTCATTTACAAGTATTTGATTAACTTAGAGGAAGGAATTTATTGAAAATATGAATTTATTAGAATTTGATCTGAAAACTATTAGTACTGAATAAAACTACTAATCTGAGCTAACAAGCATACGGCACTTTATGTTTTATGTACTAGGCACTTTGCTCATAGGAGCTCATCGGATTTATGTAATAACTGCATGAGATGCCTAACACCATGATCCCATTTACAAGGCAAGGGAATACAGACAGGTTAACTGACTTGCTCAGGTGGCACAGATGCTATATGGAAGAGCTGGGCTTTGAACCCAGGCAGCATGGATCCATTGACCATATACCTGACAATGTTGCTACCTTTGGACTGCCTTGAAGACTTGCAAATGTATAGGTTTAGCAAAGAGTCTGAATAGGTTACTTAAAAGCGCGTAAGTTCTTGAACATAAGAGACACCAACTTTAAAACCAGGCTCACTATTTGCTCAAATCAGTGAGACTCCTGTCACTTAAGAGACCACCAACATTTAAATTTTGGGTCCAAATAAAAAGATCAAATGCTTAAGGAACACTATTACAGATTCAACATAAAGACATTAATTTGAAGAAGCTTGCATTTCAGGAGTGATTCTGAAAGTACCTTCTGAAGACCTACCTCTCCGTGATTGAAGAAGAAGCATAACACTGTGACCAGGCCTCCCAATCGGCTGCCACTGCAGAAGAGGATAAGAAAATGCAACTCGATGTCAGAAATGTAGGTCAATCCTGAAAGACCTCACAATATGGTTCCATGATAACCTTCCACCACCAGACCGCTTTGGCCACTAAAGACCTCTTCTTTGCTTATTCATAAAATAGCTGACTGTTTCCAAACTCTAGCTAGTCAAAATGCAAAACACATTCTTTTAAACACATTTGTCAGCTGGGTGAGGTGACACACATCTATGATTCCAGCACCTGAGGGGCAGGCAGGAGGAGCGGGAGTCCAATGGCAGCTTTGGCTGCTTAGTTTAAGGCCAGAGTATGAGGTCCTGTCTCCAAAAAACAAAAACAACCACTTCATTTGCCACCCGCAAAATGTGCACACTCAGGAAAAAGAAAAGGAAAGAAGGAAAAAGGAAAGGAAAGGAAAGGG